GGGCTTCCCCTTTGGCTGATTGAGTGAATGGTCTGCGGGACAGAAACTCACCCTCTCTACTTTCCCTGCTTACTGCCTATAGTGGGGATTCTACATCAGGGTAAATGATACCTTTTGGCTCTACTAAAGGCACAAGGCTATTGGAAAAATTAAATAACTAGAAGCAAAGGTAAAGACTAACTGTTTAAAACTAGGGTACAACTGGCTAGCACCCATTGTTTAAACCTGAAAAAAATTGTGATAGAATTAAACTTCGGGAATTGAGGTTAATTTTTAAAATTAATATTCAAATGAGATGAAATTAAAATTCATCTAAAACTATTGAGAAGATTTCTAGAGAAATATCAAGGTAGGCAGAGGCACAGTCAAAAGTGATTTTATTACTATAGTTATAAAGTTAGCTATTATGGCAGGGCCACTGAATGACACGGTTAGTATTAACGTCAAGGTTTTCAGGCCCAGTTGAAGCTACTAGTGGGCTCATGCCTGTGTGTCCAGTTGCCAACCAGACATCTCAGATTCAAAATCTTAGAAACACTTTCACTCAGTGTGTACAGATCAGAACCCATCAGACACAACACACTCCACCAATCACCAGCCGCCAGCTCCATTGCCTTTGTTCCTATCTCACTAAATGGTGCTGCCCAGGAAGAAAACCCAGAGGCATCCTTGATGCTCCCCTCTCCCCTCCCTTCTTTCTTGCTAAGAGAAAACCAGAAATGTGGTCCCTATGTACACACATATAGCTTATATCTGCTTGGAAAGCTAAGACAAAGACAAATTGAGTCAGTAAAAGATACAAATTATAGAATAAGTATACAAGACCCCTTATAATTGCTAGTGAATTTTATGAAACCATTATGGCATAGGATTTCAGGAACACGTGCAGTCACTCCAGGTGGGATCGCTTTGTGGTAGCCAAGGGTGTAACTGGTAAGGAGCATCCTATGGCTTGCTCTGATGACCTGTGGTTCACTAGTACATCAGCCCTGATCCTTTCTACCAAGAAAACACACACGCAAATAACCTTTGTTAAAGTCTCTTTCTCTCTAGCCAGGTTGCCATTTGCAACTTTAATATTTTTATCTCCTGAGCTTCCCTAAACCACTGCTGTAAATGCCTCTTAAGGCTGGTGTTGCCTGTGTCCGCCTCTCTGGTGCTGTGTTTCAGCATCCAAGTGCTGCACTGCAGTGTTCCAGGGTAGACAGAGTTCAGTGGGTACTAATGCCTTGGTTGTGAAGACACCACCTCCCCTTACTATGACCCTGCAGTTTAGTTCATACCTACCTGTGGTCTGAGCCACATTGCCACAGCCATTGCTTCAGGGTTGGTTGCATGGCTCTTTGGAATAACTAAATATTGAAGCACTATTAAATTATTGAAATATGTAACAGCAGCAGATCCAACTCTTATAACCTTAAAGGAAGTTAGATCACTTGAGACTTACTCAGTTTTTTATTTTATGTGAGCATCACTTTAGAAGAAAATACTTCCTCAGTTTTCTTCAGAGCACTCTGTCCTCTTACTGGGCACATGCCTTGATTTAATTAATCTCAGGCGTATTGTTCTGTTCATCCCAAGTGCTACAGCCTGCTTCCAGAGCAGTCTCAGGCATAAGTCAGTGTCCCAAAGATTTTCACAAACTTGGTGATGACTATGCTTCTTGAGTTGGGGACAACCATTTCTCTTCAGTTTTTCCTACAATAAGATTTCAGGGTATTTCTTTATCTATCTCATACACTGTTACCAACCTTTTTGCCTTCTTTGTGTATTGCTAAAATGCATTTAGAGTACCTTTGATGCATTGGAAAGGTCGAAAATCGCACTTATGTGTAGTCACGTATTCAGAAACATCAGAAACACATCCAAGAACCAAAAACTGAGGAATAAAGGCCTCTGAGCAGTTGAAGTTGTTGTTAGAAAATCCACATACTTTACATATAAAACTATTCCTCAAACCTTCATTCTGAGCCTATTTATTTTTGCTTACAGTGAGCAGAGGTATTCTACAAAAGGTATGAGTGGGGCTCCTACACACAGCTTCTATTTGGAAGCCAGTAAGAAGAAAGATTTTCATAAAATACAGACTGCCACTGTGGCTTTTCTGTATTTCGGCAGACAAACTCACTCAATTAAGTAGCCCCCAAAACTACCAATGTAGTTCATTTTAGAATAATAAAAAGCATGACTAACTTTAATAACAGTGTACATGGTAATGACCCTGAGTCATTAAATGGACTAAATTGTGTTCAGAGGAGGATATACTTTTTAAGACTTCCATCAAAAAGATTTAAAATATTTGATACTTGAAGGGAAAACAGAAAATTCATTTAAATTGGGAATGAACTTGTAAGGAAATGTTAATGTGCATTCCTGATCTCTAAGTTATTTTTACTGAAGCATTTTTAATATGATTGGCTGACAATGATGATAACTGATATTGGTATAAACTTTGCAGGCTTTTCTTTGTAGAAATTCTATGTGGTAGATGGGGCAGGTTAACCAAAATGGTAAAGTGTTTTGACCAAGATCACACAACCAGAAGTGGTGACTACTCTCCACTATCTCACAGTGCTATATCCTGTAACAAATACAGGCATACTTCGTTTTATTGCGCTTCACAAATATTGTGGTTTTTTGTTTTTTGTTTTTACCAACTGAAGGCAAGACCCTCCACCAACAAAATGATTAGGACTTGCTATATTGCGACACTTGCTTTATTGCGTTATTTTTATATAAATATAAAAATATATTTATATGCTTGTGTTACTAGTATACTGTTGGTACCCAAAGTACCTTCTGGGTGGGGTCCTTCGGCAGGGGCCCTCTGTTCCTCCAGCTGCAAAGTCTGCAGCTGCATGAGGAGTTAAGCTCCTGTGTGCATCTCGTTGGGTCCTAGAGTTGGCATGACTTAATAGTCCCCCACCTGAGGGTGTCATTGGTGTCTCCCCTGTTCTGAGGGAAGGAGGTTATTGCCATTCTTACACAGCAGGAGGAGACTCTTCCTGTTGCCCTTCCAGCAGTTGCCTTTTAAAAACTTTCTCCTGAAGGACAATATATAGAAAGAAAATTACACGTATCATAGGAGTACTGCCCAATGAGTTTTTGTAGTTGCTTTTCTTCTTTTTGTTAGACTGTTGCCCCATTGCCATCATGTACTTTAAAGTTTACCATCCCCTACACCTGTGATAATATTTCTGTAATAATATTGTTTTGTGGTTTACTCACAATTCCATGATCAGTTTCAAGTTTGAGGTAGGCATTTTCCAAGACATGCCCATCTAACCCGGAGCCTAACGTAGACCCGTTCAGATATCCATGGAACTGCTGAAGAAAAGTGCTCTCTTGCTAGTTGTGAACATAAAACACAGTCTAACCTTTTTGCTTGTAAAAGTTTTAACAACAGATTTCACCAATAGTTTCTTGATTTCATTTCGTTCGGTATTTAGACATGTGTCAGCAACTTTTCACCACTTGGTCCTAAAATCTCCCTGAGTCAGGAACAGAGAAACTGAAATGGAGACCTGCTTTTGGTGCTTTGTGTTTTATGTTCATTATCTAATATCTCACAACAATCCTTTGAAATACTGAAATTCAGGTGCAATTTACCGACGAAGCAACCAAGTTCAGAAAGGTTAATTTGCCCCAGATTCTGTAAATAGTAAATGTCAGAGTGAGAAGTAGAATCTAAGTTTTTCAGATTCCACAATCTGTGCTCTTTTCAATAAAACCCTACTGCTTCAGAGGCCAGAGGAGGATGGGGAAGTAGGAGGCTGGCGTAGGTTGGCTAGGGTAAGCCTTCCTATAAGGCACCTCATGGCTGGGAGATAATGTCACAGATTGAAGAAAAGAAGAGTTACCTTGGAGATATTATCAAACAACATCTGTTCAGCACATTTATTAAGCTGCCCTCAGTGCTCTGCCATGTTACATAAAGAGTCAGATAATAGGCTCCTGAAGAAATGTAATCTAGAGAAAGAGAGATTGAGAGATTGTATAAAACTCCAGAGCATTGGAGCACTCCAGTTGCATGGGCTTAGTAAGACCCAGACATCCAGAAACACTGAGCCGCTCTTGCAAACTCTTGGCTGTCTAGCCAGGAATTGCCGTTAGCCTGTTTTGAACCTTGTATGGTCCTTTCCTGCTGCCCCCACTGTCCAGGTTAAACTCTAAGAATTGTCCTGGATGACTTATAAAGTGTGAAAGGGGTTCTTTAATGTAAAATGACTTCCCTGTGGATTATTATAAATGGTTATTGAAGGTCTAAGACAATGCCACAGTTGGGGTTTGACTAAAGACATAATACCGCCTTGCACTGACAAAGCCCTACAGCTTACAATGTCATTTCACATCTGTTTTCTCACTTAGAGGCCAGGAATCAGGAATGGCTTGTCATTCCATTTTTCAATGTGTATGAAATGTGAAATTATTGATCTCAGTTCATCCATGCCCCAGGAAAGGGGTAGAGGGTTCCTGCATTATTATTTGCAGAATTAGAAAGTCTAGCCAATTGGTCATGCTGAGAAACCATATTAAAACTATAATTTCTCAAAGTATTTCTACACCAAGATTTGTAATGTAATGTACCTGAATTTTTGTCAGTTTTGTGGACTTATAAAGCAATAATTACTTAACAGTAGTACCCAGATCTAAAACAAAAGTATATATTGACTAATGAGTTAATAATGTGACCAAAATTTAATTTTTTGAAAAAAGATTTATTTTCAATATTTCTTCTTTAGAAGATAAAAATTATTTGTGAATGATCACTTAAAAAGTATGAAGGATGTTGTCACTAAAAATTGAGAGTAGAACAGCCTTATACTTAATTAGTTAAAGATTGATTTATTGAAGCAAAAGTATATAGGCATTTAGAAGGAGTTTTGGCTACAGTGTTCACTCTCTTTACAACATGAGTAACATCTGGTGAATTTCAAAATGTAAAAATGGTTCTTTGGAGAATGACCATTCTAATTCCTTCTTTCTCTTTGTCTGTCTAGTGAGAACGCAACAGAGGCAATAGCAGTAGATTCTAACAATCAGTCGAAGTCCCCCCTGGAGAAGTTTATGGTCAAATTGTGCACTCATCATCAGAAGCAGTTCATTCGTGTTCTGAACGATCTGTACACCGAATCTCAGCCAGACACCGAGGACCTACAACATTCTGATTCTGGAACAATGGATGCATCCACTTGCAATGCTGGCTGTGCCCAGCTAGGCACCAGACATAAGGAAAATGATGCTCTGTGTCTCGATATGAAGTCTCCTCATTCTGTAGATTTGATAGACTCATCAGGCTCTCACAGTCCTCTACCCTTGGCAGAAAAGGCCCTGAAGGAGCCTCCTCCTGAGACGAACTCTGTAGATGGAAGAGAGAATGCCTTGACTAATGTACAGAAAGATCCCTCTGAACTTCCAACCACTAAACCTAATTCTGGGAGTTCAACGGATAGTTCCACTCTGGGATACCTTAGTACATCTAATTCTTCCCCGTTCAACCTCCATCACACCTCTGAGAGCGTGGAGGGGCAAACCACTGGACAGGAGCAAGACACAAATGTGAAAGTATGTGAGGATGGTAAAGACCATATGCAGAGTTCAGCTTTAGTAGAAAGTCTGGTTGCAGGAAAATCGGCAACTGAGACTAGTGAGGAGAACAGCACCTGTATTGTTTCTCAAAGACATTCATTCAGAGCTTTATCAGAAGAGGCTTGGGACTCGGGGTTTACAGGGAATTCATCTAGAACTGCTGACAAAGAGAATACTTTACAATGTAGCTCCAGAATGCCTTTGCGCCAGGATTTAGAGGCAAGTGAACAAGATTCAAGGCCAAAGCAAGAGAACCATCTTCACTCACTAGGAAGAAATAAGGTGGGTTACCATTTGCATCCCAGCGATAAGGGCCAGTATGATCATTCCAAAGATGGTTGGTTAGCCCCCAGCCCCATGCCAGCTGTGCACAAAGCATCCAATGGACACTCTCGAACCAAGATGTTATCAGCCTCCATCAAGACAGCTCGGAAGAGTAAAAGGGCATCAGGGCTGAGGATAAATGATTATGATAACCAATGTGATGTCGTTTATATCAGTCAGCCAATAACAGAATGCCACTTTGAGAATCAGAGATCGATGTTGTCTTCTCGGAAAACAGCCAGAAAAAGTACTCGAGGGTACTTTTTCAATGGTGATTGTTGCGAGCTGCCGACTGTTCGCACACTGGCCAGAAACTTACACTCCCAAGAAAAACCAAGCTGCTCAACACTGGCATCAGAGGCAGTGGTCACTCCCAAACAGACCCTCATCATTTCAGCCCCGAGACCTACGGTGGATGTGCAGCTTCCCAGAGAGGACAACGCTGAAGAGCCTAGTGAAGAAATAACCTCCCCCAAGGAAGGAGACAGCGATGCTTCATCTGAGAAGAAATCTCAAGAGCCTGAGGTTTGCCCCACAGTGAACCAACCCAATCCAACCAGCTCCCCAAGGTCAGAGGAAGCAACAGCCTCCAGCCTGGCATGGCCTCTCCCAGCTCACCTTCCGGAAGAGGCCATGCCCGAAGGCAGCTCCATGGTCGCAGCTCCCACAGCAGGTGGGATAGCTTCCCCTGAACGAGACCAATGCCCAGCTGAACTGCCTGATGCAAAGGGGACGAGTGAACCTGAAGACTGTCCCCTGGTTCCCTCTACTGAGAGCTTTTCTGAGGGAGACAGAGAAGATGTTGTGTCTAGGCCTAGTTCTTCTCCTAAAACAGTCAGAAGGGCAGAAAGTCCTCTGTGCTCAGAAAATCAAAGTGCCCCCGTGAGCTTGGAGCCTCCTGCGAGCCTGGGAAAGGCTGAGGATGGACAAAGCATCAGTACTGAGACCGAGACTGAAGATGCCCAGGAGCTGGATTCTGACCCGCTCTCGAAGGAAAGCAGCACTTTGACTAAGAAAGACCCCAGTGACATTGAGGAAAGTAAGGCAGCAAGTAGTACAGGAAAATTAGAGGAAGAAGGTGATGATAGAAAACATCCTTCAGAAAAAGATATGTGTGAACAAACCATTGACTCACCTGAAGAGAACTCGGACAAGAAGAAAAAGGGTAAAAAATGTCCTGAGGCCTCAGATAGGTGCCTAAGAAGTCAACTTTCAGATTCTTCCTCTGCCGATAAGGACCTAAGAAATCAAAGTTCAGATTCTTCTTCTGCTTGCTCTGAGGTCAAGGTTTCTAAAAATCCTGGTGCAGAATGTTCTGAAAAAGAAGAGTACCCTGGTGGAACAACACCGGAGGACTTTCTGACCGAGGGTCTCCACCCAAAAGCTATGAATGACACCGAAAACCCATATGTCAATGAAAACCCCTCTGAGAAGGATGCTGAGCAGGAGGGCGAAGAAGGTGGGATCATCACTAGGCAGACTTTTAAAAACATGCTGGCAAAAGAGGCCAAAAAAGAAGAAGGAGATATTTTCCCCAACAGTGATCCTATTACCACAGTTGGCCAGCCCCTGCCTGGAGAGAGACTGGAAATCTATGTCCAGTCTAAGTTAGGTGAGAAAAATGCCTGTGACCTCTTAGAAAGTGTTCCATGTCCTTTCCCAGAGCAGTCAGAAGAGAAGCCAGGACCTGTTCCTGCACAAGACGTGGAGGAGGTTGTAAGTGAGATGGACAGCGCGAACGCCCAGCATAAAGGTGATGATCATGATGAGCCATCCATCGTGCTCGCGTTGTCAAGCAGTGGAAGTGATGATGATGCTGGGCCCTCAAAATGGGTACCAAGGCTCACGAGACAGACGTCTTCGAACTACAACCTAAGACATGCTCATTCTCTGGACTCCTTGGATACCACAAAAATGACTTCAGAAAAGGAAGCACAAGAAAACCCAGTACCCAAGGACGATGAAGCTTCAGAGAGAGGAGATCCCATAGATGAGGATGATGGGGAAGCAGTGGTCGACGACCAGCCCAAGTTTATGGAATGGTGTGCCGAGGAGGAAAACCAAGAGCTCATCGCCAACTTCAATGCCCAATACATGAAAGTTCAGAAAGGCTGGATCCAGCTGGAGAAAGAAGGCCAGCCAACACCAAGAGCAAGGAACAGGTCGGATAAGCTGAAGGAGATTTGGAAAAGCAAGAAAAGGTCACGGAAATGTAAGGGTCCATTGGAAGCTCAAAAGTTTTCTCCTGTTCAGATGCTGTTTATGACAAACTTTAAATTATCTAATGTTTGTAAATGGTTCTTAGAGACAACTGAAACCCGGTCTCTGGTCATCGTGAAGAAGCTCAACACTCGTCTTCCGGGAGACACACCTCCTGTCAAGCATCCTCTTCAGAAGTACTCACCTTCCAGCCTGTACCCCAGCTCACTGCAGGCCGAACGCTTGAAAAAACACTTGAAGAAATTTCCCGGAGCTACTCCTGCAAAGAACAACTGGAAAATGCAGAAGCTCTGGGCCAAATTTCGTGAGAATCCTGACCAAGTGGAGCCAGAGAATGGCAGTGACGTCAACCGTGGCCCCAGTTCTGAAGACAGAAAAGAGGAAGTCAAGGAAGGTAGAAATGGCCATCCTTCTACGAGCTCACCTACTCCAGCCAGTACCCGGATCCTTAGAAAGTATTCCAATATTCGAGGAAAGCTCAGAGCTCAGCAGCGCTTGATCAAGAACGAGAAAAAGGAAAGCCCTTTTGGTCTGGCTGTGGAAGGTAGACAGAGTTGTAAAAGTGTGTGCATCCACCCTCTGATGTCCCCCAGGCATGCCCTGCAGGTGGATGCCTACGGGTTTCCCATTAAACCCAAGCGTGCTGATGGAACAAAGGGAAGGAAAGGGAAGCAGATGTCTGAAATCTTGCCGAAAGCAGAAGTTCAGAATAAACGCAAGAGGACCGAAGGTGGCAGCACTCAGGACAGAAAGGACAAGGGTCTGGTGATGAAAGCCAGCAAAGAAAAACGTATCGATGGAGCCACCAAAACCCCTGCCGCCAAGAAGCCAGCTGCAAGGGACAGAGTCAGCCACCTGCCCAAAAAGACATCTTTGAAAGAAAATAAAGTGAAGATCCCTAAAAAGTCCTCTGGGAAGAGCTGCCCTCCCTTCAGGAAAGAAAAAGAGAACACAAACAAAAGACCTACCCAGTCCCCCGCCTCAGAGACAGTGACTAAACCTGCAAAGCAAAAAGGTGCAAATGAATCCTCTTCAAGGCCACAGAAAGCCGCCAACAGAAAGCAGAACAGTGGAAAGGCTGGGGCCAGACCCTTGATGAAAAGCCCGGAGAACAGTGCAGCCCAGCGAAAGCGAAAGCTGAAGGCAAAGCTGGACTCTTCCCACAACAAACGGCAGCGGCTGGACGCAAAGTGATCCGAGGGGTGGCAGCCAAGAGTAAAACTGTTCTATAGAAGGAACCCTTTATTTTGCATTAACTAAATCCGCTTTTATAAGCTTATCAAGCCTTTCAAACCTGCAGTTAATGGAGAACACCACAATTTAAGATGCCAGAAAATGCATCTCAGATGGAGAAGGAAGCTTGCAGTCTTTCTCCGAGGCTGAGTAAGGGAAGTTATATATTATATTCTGGTTGTTCCTTGGGTTTTAAACTTGGAACCAAGCAGTTGTAGTTTTTAAAAGTACAGTGCCTTATTTATCCCTTTTGTGTTTAAAATTTACAAAAGCTAAAAAGCTGATCTATGTGATAAAGGCTTGTATTTTATACTTGATGCACAAGCACTTGTACTGTAGCCGAGAAGACCACCGTCATGCACATAAAGTAGCTTCCCAGCAGCTCCCTGCAGTCTGTACGTGAGCAGACGCTCCCCTCTACAACCCCAGCAGTGAACTTCCCTCTCTGTCTGGTTTGTCTGTTTAAATGATATTTGAAAGCTAAACCAAATCATTTTTATGGTATGTGGAGAATGCAGAGGGCATTTATAATTATTGTAAAAGATTAATATTTCTGTTACCCTTTTTTAAAAATCATATTCATGGTAGGTCACTCCTACCTTTGATCTTTTGTCATTTGAAAAAAAATGGATTCTAAATTATGTGCCCATGAGACAGAAGGTGTGTTACCAGGTATTGATTTTGGTTTATGACCTCTAAAAATTATTTGCAATACTTGTCCTTACCATCATTTTCATTTTGGGCCTTGAGCTTGCTACCACTCTAACGAAGTCCCCCCACCCCCGCTTATAGCTGTAATTTGCCAATTAGGATGAAAGTGACTATGCTAATTTTCTTTTTTACCCTGAGTACTTCCATTTTCAAAAAGAGCCAAAATGTTATTTCCAGTAGTAGAAAAGTTTAAGAGTGTGTGTGCATGTGCATTTGGGTACATTTGCCTCTGGCTATTGGCCACAAATGTCTCCTAACCCCAGTTCCACAGTAAATTCTTTCTTCCCCATGTTCTGTGCTAGGGGATTCGTGAACTGGGTGCCAAGGCTTTCTGTGAACATCCTGCAAACCATTCTGGCACTGGGCTCAGAAAGGTCAAAAGAGCACAGAGTTATGTAAAGGCCACAGCAGACTTGCAGTTGGAGGAAGCAGCTCCAGTATCTTATAGTGGCCCCACATGGCCTGCACCCGAGCTAATGTTCATGTGGAAGTACAAGTTTAGAATGGGGTCCATTCTGATTGGTTAGCACCGTACTCATAGTTCATGCTTGTAGTATCACTCCTGCCTTTGCCATGTCAGGCTCAAAAGTGAGAGCTGCAGTATTTGTAATTGATAATGTTTGCCTTTCCCGGGTGAAGCCTCAAATGGGTGCATTGGCTTTACCTTGGTGCCTATAACATTGCTCCATTATAACACCGTGTGTACTCAACATTTCCATTGGGCCATTCTACAAAAAGGCTTAGTTGTTAAAGCCTCAACCAGTTTCTCAAACATGCTCTGTCACCAACACAGGCTTAAAAGGACAGCTGCTGCTCTGTCCTTTCTATTAAAAATTGTTCCATTTAGATTGTTTCAGACCAGTTTAGATAAACCCAGATGGACTTTTTTTATGCTTTAGTTTGTTTAGATCATGATAAAACAGGCCTTCTATCCAATCTGTAAAAGGCTTGCTGTATATGTACAACGAAAACTTCTGATGATTGGATAGGCCTGGAAAAAAGCATTTGATTCATGGGAAATGGAGAGTTGTATTGAATTTCATAGATAGTGAAGCCTATCTTCAGTGAAGCCGTGATTTTTTTTTCCTAATGTCTCCTCTATCCCATAAGTCTCAATTTTTTTATATATATATATCTTTGACTATGGCCAATGAAGAGCTACCTATGTTAATGAAACTGCTGAGTGTGTATGTTGGCAACCCTTTCTCAGCATTAAGTTGCACAAAAGCATTAATATGTTTTGAGTAAGTTCGTTTAATCTTTAAAAAGTGGTTTTAAAGTTTAAAAAAATCTTTATGTAGAGTCGTCACTGGATATTGTTTTTGTGGTGACTTATAGCTGAGGTTTGAGGATGTCAGGTGTGCGGATTCCTGTACATGCGTTCAAGATGCCCCCTTAGCTGCACATAGACGACCTTGGAAGGGTGCTTGCATTATGTTAGAGAGAGGTGTGAGGCAGTAGGTGGGTGGAACTGTTCCAGTTCCAGATTTATAATTCATTCCATTACTTTTCTACATTCTTTTTGTTTTGTAAAAGTTCACTTCAAGATAATAGCCTTCTCTCCCATTCTAAAAAGCATTTGAGAAAAGTTATCAATGTGTGTGTATGTATTTATTTATACACTTAATGCAGTGGATCATCTTTAAAATCAACTTACACTATAGTAGTGACTACACTTAAATAGACTGGGATTCTGCATAATTATGAGATTAAAAGTTTAGAATTATTTTTGTATTTGTTGAATCTTGTTTTTGCTGATTCAGTTAATTTTGCTAGAAAGAAAGAAAGAAAGAAAGAAAGAAAGAAAGAAAGAAAGAAAGAAAGAAAGAAAGAAAAAAGAAAGAAAGAAAAAGAAATTTAAGGGCTGTCTCCAGAAGGCCTTTTTACGCTTAAAGCCGATGCTGTCCCCCAGATACCTCCAAGCCCAGGCTTTGATATTGACTCAAGTCTCCCCTTGTCCCCCCTCTCTTGCAAAGACCTCCTTCTCATAGCCATCGCCACAGTATGGCTTGCCACCAGATGCAAAGTCAGTCTGTCCCACATTCTGGATTCCAGATCAGAAGGAAATTCTGCTTCTGGGCCTGAGCTCAGTGAAGTGATTGTCCTAATGGAGCCCAAGTGGATGCCCAGAGACCACTAATAGTATCTCTTAGCTTTGGGGGAAGCTGGGAGATGCTGGGAAGCATCACTGAAGCTCCACCCAGAGCTGGGTCCCCTTCTGCAGACACATCTTCCGTCCTGTGAGGCTCCCTGGGCCTGGGAGGACGCCCTGTGCCTCACCCCGCACTTCCTCAGGCATGTGGCGCAGCAGGAAGGCCGTGCTCCTTGGTTCTGCTCTTGAGCTTTCCTACATAGGAATGTTATTAGCATCTGTTCATCTGCAGTTGCTGGCCCCTTCGATCCCTTGGGTAGCCAGTTCTGTTGTGTCTGTATTTCATTAAAGACTTCTACATGGGCCTTACCTTAAAGAAGTAATCGTGAGCTGTGGCTTCCATGCCTCATGGCTGCTGAGGTGATACAGATAGAGGTGCAGTTAGTCATCCCTTCACATATGCGGTACTTTTCATGAAGCCTCTACACATCACACACTCGGGGCAGGTGAATCTCTCCCTGTTCAGACAGGTCATCAAAAAACACTTCCAGACAGTTACTTTGAGTTGAATTTGGGTCTCTGTCCTGCCTTGTGATGGATTCTGTGGTGAGGGCGGGAGTTGTCACTCATGAGGGGCAGCGTTTCTGTTGATGAGTGGAGCTAAGAGCCTGGTAGGAAAGGACTGCTATGTGATGCAGGCTGGCGAGGCTCTGGTGTCACCATCAACAGGCTGGTGTTGTCATCCTCCCTGGGACGGGGCTGGCATTTCCCAAGATGCTGGCCCAGGAGCCACACCCAGTCCTTTCGGTTTTAAGGCTCTCTGTTGGCTTAGAAACAATTTATCAAGTCTGCAGAATGTGGGCTGGTTCCTCTTTTGTAAATAAAAGTTTATTGGGACAAAGCGACGCCCATTTGTGTCTGGGTTGTCTGCAGCTGCATTCCAGCAGAGTTGAGGAGCTGCAACAGAGACCATGTGGCCTACACAGCCTGAAATGCTTACTGTCTGGACCTTTAAGAAAAGGTTTGCCAGCCTTGCTTGAGAAAATAATCCTTTTTCAGGAATAACCTTCCCTGATGTATCTTCTCCTTTCTTCTGCCTCTTTCCCTCTGTCCTCTTCTTTTCTGCTCCTCCTTATCGTACCTCAACTTTATTCTTTACATTTTTAAATTTCTTCTTGCAACAGAAGAGACAGGTTACATCATTGCTTTAGCACACTGAATACCATCTCCTGAAACTTGAGCTACCTTAGCCTCATATCTTCCTTCTTAGAATCACCCATCACAGTAACCAAAACGAGACGGCCTATAGTCAGCCTGTGAGCAAATAGGAATTCTAAAATTATGAGGCCTGGGCCTCTCATTTCACTTTTTTTTTTTCCTTTCCATTGATCCTTAGAGAGAAAGTCAGGGAGGAGGTGGTCAGATAGAGAAACATCAATCTCACATCAACTGATTGCCTCCCACACACACAACCTGGGCCAGGGATCAAACCTGCAATCGAGGTATGGGCCCTTGACCAGGAATCGAACCTGCAACCCTTGGGTCTTGTGGGCTGATGCTCTAACCACTGAGATAAACTGGCCAGGGCTCATTTCACTATCATAGACCTGACACCAGCCTCACTTCTTATTTATTTTTAAAGTAAGTCAAGATTTTATTTCTTTCCAAATTCGTTGAGACTGCATTAGTTGATGTTCAGTTTTCTGAACCTCACATTCATATGGAAAAAGTCTTCACAGAGGGGAAACAAAGTCCAATCACAAACCCAAAGCATTGTTGATTATGTCATATTTTGGGCCAGCTTCTAGGAAAATAAAACTATTGGCACTGATTTTTTCCCCCCAATCCCATACTCTTCTTTCAAATTAATTTTATTAAAGACAAGCCAACAAATAAAAAATGTGAGTAAGAAATCATGTTTATTATGTACATCACATCGTGGTTAGTATTCCCTGTGCATGTCGTCAGGGGGGGAAAAATAAAAAGATATTTGTATTTAAAACAGCAGAATTGGGAAGCCTTTGAGACAGCTATTAATATAATTCATCCCTTGAGCCTGGCTAGGCTCAGTGGTTGAGCATCAACTATGAACCAGGAAGTCATGGTTAGATTCCTGATCCGGGCACCTGCCCAGGTTGTGGGCTCAGTCCCCAGTGCAGGGCGTGCGAGAGGCAGCTGATCAATGATTCTCTCTCATCATTGATGTTTCTCTCTCTCCTCTCCCTCCCTCTCTGAAATCAATAAAAATATATTTAAAAATATATATATAATTCTTCCCTTGAAACATCAAAACATACTACTCTGTTCTACAGTAGATGGATTGGAAAACTTTGATGGTCTGACTTCTTTAATAATAAGTCATATTCAGGTCGAAAACCAGAGCTCTGATGCTACTTCAGGCTCAGAGCTTTGTCAGGCTGTGCTGGGGACTGGGAACCACCGTGGGCACTTGGCAGAGGGTATCCTTGCTCATGCTTTTGTCCTTGGAATTGAGCTGAAGTTGGTCTGGTCCATTACCATCCCTCTGTCTGATCTTCCTTTTCTCAGTGCTAGTGGTTGATGCTCTGAATTTCAGAGCCATCCGTTGCTCCATCCTTCAGTTCTGTTCGTCTGCTGAGCACAATGACACACAGACCCTCTTGCCTTTCGGGGACCATTCCATTTAACACAAGGAACTCAGTAGGCGAGCCATGTGGAGTGTGGGCTTCCCATTAAAAGAAACAACTACACACTCATGGTTGTATAATATGCCTGAGATTGGAGGAGTGCATTTTGCTTTTTCTAAAATGGTTATTTAAAAAATATATTAATGCCCTAGCCGGTTTGGCTCAGTGGATAGAGCAGTGGCCTGCAGACCGAAGGGTCCCGGGTTTGGTTCCGGGCAAGGGCACATACTTTGGTTGCAGGCTCCTCCCCGGCCTGGGCCCTGGTTGGGGCGCATTCAGGAGGCAACCAATCAATGTGTTTCTCTCACACCGATATATCCCTCAGTCTTTCCCTCTCTCTTCCACTCTCTCTAAAAAAAATCAATGGAAAAATATCCTCAGGTGAGGATTAACCAAAAAACAACAACAACTATACACACACACACACACACACACACACACACACAATACATATTAATACTATATCTATCTATATATATATATATATTAATAATAGAGACCATATGGGCCCCGACAGCCTAAATATAAAATATTTACTACCTGGCCCTTTACAGAAAAGGTTTTATGACCGTTGCAATATGTCACTCAAGATCAAATTGTGTGGCCTGTTAGGTACACGCTTATTTTTTTCATATAGTCCAGCACTGCAACATCTCTTTCCTTTTGGATTTTAGGGTATCTTGGGAATTCATTTTAGCACATGGCTGCTATTTCACATTATCCCTGAGTAATGCTTGTGTATTAAAGAACAAGAAGCCCTGGCCCATGTGGTTCAGTAGGCTGGGCATCATCCCGTGCACCAAAAGGTTGCCAGTTCGATTTCCTGTCAGGGCACATTCCTGGGTTGCGGGGCTTCATCCCCACTAGGGGGTGTGTAGGAGGCGGCCGATCTGTTCCACTCTCACATTGGTGTTTCTCTTTCTCCCTCTCCCTTCTCTCTAAAAATCAATTAAAAAAATTTTTTTTAAAAGAACAAGAAAACACCCCCTCTTTTGTTGATTGACTTTTTGCGGAATTGTAGACATACAGCCTTATTTACAAGGATGCGTAGTTGAAGTACGAAGTCTTAAACTGAAAGCACCCCGGTCTTTGTCATGTGTGAGTCCGGCGAGCTGGACCCTGGAGAAACGTTCCTCTGTGGCAGGGCTTAACACAAAGGGGGTTCCCAGTGAACCTAAAGCGAGGATGGTGCCTCCCTGGCAAGCACAGGGCGAGTCCATTCTACCCCGTGGAGCCCTCTTCCTGTGCAGTACACTTGCACGTTTCTCGCTCCCCGAGATGGGTCATTGTGGACATAAATGCATGGTCTTTGCTGCTTGGAACCTTGAACCCAGACCACCCATCCCCAGCTCTTAAAAATACCAGCATGTCAGCAGCTTTAGACAGAAGTTCAGGGCTCTCTGGGCCAGCGAAGCCACCCAGTCAGGCCTGACTCACCTCATCATGAGGAGCCGCCTGTGGCACCTTTGTCTCTTCCCTCTCCTGCTTCTGCCACCAGCCCCTTTCAGGAGGCGGCTTCTCCAGGAAGTCTCCCACTTCCGGGCACTTCACTGAGCATCTAGAGGTCATATCAGGAGCATTTTTTTCTCTCATAACTTTATTTTTCTTCTAATATTTAGCCATTGGGGCCCAGATGCTATTAAAATTGTCAACTTTTTCACCCCGTTGTTTTCTATCATCTACACCTCATGTCTTGTAGCTAAAGCTGTAGTGGTTGGGAGCTAGTTTGTGGAAGAGATGCTAAACAGACAAGATTTGCATAATTTTGAATATTTATACCACAGGTAGAGATTAGTTTTAGAGCCACTATAGCTTAAGATTATTAGTTTCACCA